CTCACATCTGTTTTAAGGAGAAAAATAATTTCAGCGATATCCTGGAACTAGAATTATCCTAGTTTACATATGAATTTGTCAACAGCATATGCTATTTCCTAAAAATCAATGAAAATATTGCTTTTTTCATTCTCATTTTGGATATTCTAAAATGCAGTAATGTATACAGCATTGATTTACGTCCATTTTAAGGTAAATTTGCTGATCATTTCTTATAAGTTTCCAAACATCTTTTTAGAGATGGACTTTCTTCTTTCCAAAGTGAAATGTGTGTCAATACAATTTATTTCAAATGACTATGGCATGACATCTAGTCTTCACTTTGGCATTCATGTTTGTTTCATTATTTTACGGAGACATTGCTATTTATTTTTAAGTGTTTTTAATGTGTTATTGAAAATATTTGTAATATACGCATTTACAAAACTTTGCACTGACCAGAGATATAAAGTTAGTCTTCAGTTAAAAGACTTGTTTAGGATTGTGTAAAGTTGAACAATTACTTTGTTTATATAAGTTGAATAGGAGACTGTTTGTTTTATGATTTTTTTTGTAATGTTGGATAGTTTCCACAGGCTTTGGGAATTTTCTTCATTTGATTATCTCTATGTAGTTGAATAGAAAAATATTTTGAAATTATCAAAATAAATAAGTTATCTATTTTGGAGATTAATTTTGATAACCAGCATTTTGTAACAGCATCATGTTCTTAGCATATGCTAAGAATATCGTCAAAAGAAAAGAGTCAACCAACGTGTGCAGATCTGTGATAAATTTTACTACTTTTTGTTATTCCCATGTATATGTAGTTATATAATGATTTGAACAACTGTAATTTTGGAACACTGAGAAACAACTGCTTCAAGTGATTGTTAGACTGTAACTAAATTACTTCAAGTTGCAAATGTGGTCTCACGGCTTCATAGTTTATATTGCAAGGCATGCTGAAAATTTCTAGTTACATTTGAATTGCATTGAAATCTGTGTTTAAACTCAAAATCAGACTCAAAATGCAGGTTTCTTTTTCAGGCTATCTTCATAACTATTGCATTTTGACATTTAAATTGTTCATATGACAAAGAAATGTGAAAAATGCTAAGTTGAAAACCATGCTGTATCAATATAAATTAAATCCTGTGACTAATCACTTACTAGTCCTGTGAAAATTTGCAAATATGACTCTGATTTTTTGTGATTGCTTTCTAAATTAATTGATGCTATATATTTTAAAATTTCACACTTTACAGAACAATGTTTCTCATTGAAGAATGGCACAATTTCGTTAATCAGTTGCCAAACTTTCTCGAAAACACATCTTGCACTAAGCCATCTTACTTTTGTTTTGTGTAATACAGCACATGCAAGTATTCAGATTTTAAGGGCTTAAGTAAATCTCGTAATTCCCTGTGGGTACATCAACAAGATTGAATACTATTCCCAAGCCTCATGGTTACATCAAGCACAGGTTTAATGTTCAATGGAAATTTAAACAGACCACTTGAAAATAGTTAAAATTTCCACATTCAAAAAAAAAAAAAAAAGATTACCTTTCTTCATTTCGTTACATTATCAGTAATTCTCGCTTTCTGGGGAATTTTCAGTGGGAGATTTAAATCTTGTTATACTTATCTGTGTTCATGATGTAACAAAGTCGATGAGCACAGTATACATGTCAATGAAGTGAGATAACAGATATCTATGTGAACTCATGTTATGCGCAAATCACGTGATATTCCTTTACGTTTTATTTATACAAATACAGTATACATTGTATAGCCAAAACAAAAATGAATATATATTTACAATATACATGTATGTTATTAAATAGTAAAATCCTAATATATATTTTGATAATTTGCTGAATAGAATATATATATCTATATAGAAGCTTTAAACAGGTAGTTGTTCACTGGCCATAGTTTGTCCATCCTTGAACTCAACTTTCGGATTTGATAGAGTGAGATTGTGACTACATTTTCAGTAACTTATTTGATAAAATTATGATTTGAAAATTCAAAATAGATTTAAAATCAGAAGATGAATTTAAAAGAAATACTGTGCCTAAATATATTATTAATAATAATTAATGAGCCCACCAGCGGCCGAGCGGTAAAAGCTGCTGAACACTGGTAGTTCGATCCTGGATTCAAGTCCCGGCGAACAGGCTGGCTGCATGCACGTTTTCGTAATTTCCCCCATGTGTAACATGGATACGAGCCAGTTTCCCTTAAAAAGACCTCTACGGGGCATCCCTCCCTTTCTGTGGAGTGCCTAAGGGCGGAGCACGTAATAAGAAAAAAATAAAAATAATTAATAACAAAAAAAATTAAGTAATCATATAATAAATATATGCAATATCACACTTACATGATAATTTATACAAAACTATTCCTACATGATTTTTCAATGAAATTTTTTTCTTATTCACTTGATCACTCAGCATAGCTCTCCAATAACAATAACCGAAATCAGGTTAGGGTTTGAGGGTTAGTTAAGGAATATTTTGAGTTTAAAATTGCTGGTGGCATGTATCCGTTTGGTTTGGTGTGTTTTAATTATGTCAAAGCATGCAAAAAATATCTGCGTAAGAGAAGGTGTGCCTTTGAGGAGAACTTTATAAGGGATTTTTGGCTTTGCATTCCTGTAACATATTGAAGCACCGTGAAAACACCCATGCAATTAGCTGTCTTTTTTTAGATTAGGACCTAAATCAAACTACCAGAATTCAGTCACAGAACATCAGTTGGAAAGTAATGAATCATAGTATGCTTGTTAGAGTTACATGCAAAAAAGTTAAATTCTGCCCTTAGTGTTTCTGAGGTTAGCATGATTGTTAATAAAAGTGGATATGTTAGTTTTTATTTTATGACACATGCACACATAAGCACACACTTATATATGCATGCATAAGTAAGAGCAGAATATAATTTATTCCTATACAAACTTTATTTTTTACCTAGTCAAACAGTTGCAATAGTTTATATTTCAATGAAAACATTGTTTATTTCATTTATGTGATGAGAATTTATTTTCACTCATACTTTGGAAAGCATTTTGAAATTATGCAATGAAGGTACAAGTAGTAAAAGTGCCTTTTTGTTTCTCTGTGTTTTGACAATTTCCCAAGAAACTGCACTGTTAAAAAACAGGAATATTTTCTAATTTTATATTCTTAAAGCATATTTAAAGAAAGATATGAATTTCACTAAGTTATTTTTCAACAAATTGATAACTTTGCCATGAAAGACTCATTATTTGCTGTGATCTGCAAATATGATCTGGTTCTGTTTTAAATGGAGAAGACATGTATGTATCACCAAAATAGCTAATGAACAGTCAATTACGATCAACGCATTTCGCGGAAATTCGTTAACAGGCTGTTTTTCATTACAAACAGGAAATGGCATACTGCAAGCCAGAGGGAATATGGAGTTAGGGGATCTATGGGAACATAATATCCAGTCCTTTCATTGCTATTAACGATTTTCAGTTTACGGTTTGTATTACGGTTAACCTTTTTAAATATCTTGTAACGTAACTGTACACCGCTAAACTCATGGCCGATTAGCCGTTGACGAGCTTGGCGAGTAAATACGCTTCGCCGCCAACGGATCCTCTCCGGAAGAATATGTTTCATATGTGAATATCACTAATGTTTAATAACTGTCATTTACAAATAAGGCTGAAATGCACAAGTGCTCAAAAACAAATAAGGGTTAGTCTATATTTTAGGATATCCTTTGGATTATCGCCAAGTTGTTGTTTCATTAATGGTAACCTGAGTAGCTGAATGTTATGGAAACCCTGTTATGACACTGGTTGTAATGCATGATTCTGACTAATGGGAGAGTATTAAGGGCTTACTTAGGTATGGATGTTGGTTAGGAAGTATGTTGCTTATTTTGCGCTTTACACTGTAAAATGCCTGCTGGTGGTACAATTAACCTGAAGTTTCTGTACACTTTGGAACAATTGGGAAAGAACACATTGATTGACTGGTGTATAAATGAAGATTTAAATGGCTTTGTCCACCTTTTGGTAAATTATGCAGCGAGATTTAAGGATTTTGAAATCGGAGCTCATATCAACACTATGGAAGTTAAGTGGGGTGTAATAAAAAGGGATTTTTGAAAGAAATGCTACAGACAATATGGATGATATTTTTCATTTTTACTTTCATGAATTAGTAGGGCAATTGTAGTATACAGATTATAGTTTAGATAATTTTAAATAGCTTTTGGATGCTGTTAAGAAATTCTGTGTGTCACACAATATCGAAGAACCAGAAATTTTTAAATAAGGTGAGTCGATTATTTCCTTTTTTACTGCATAGAATAGTTAATGCATATTTCCATTCTTATGTTATATCCTTGTTTGATTTAAAACGCAGTTTATTGAGATCATATATTTTTTGCTTTAATTATGTTCTGGATGCCTTTTTACTGGGAAGGGTAGGGCGTTGGATGTAAACAGGAATGGCACCAAAAAATCGCCAAGGGATACCCTGAAATATATTTTCACCTAAATGTAAGTCATTGTATACAGATTTCTAATCGTGAAAATGAAATATAACAAATTTAATATCCACTTTAATGAACTCCCCCTCCCCAACATATGCGTAACCTACTTTTGGAAACATGATTAAAATTATCAACAATTTGTCAAATTCTTATAGAAAATCACAAAGTTTCAAATAATCAGAGAAAGAAACTTCATCAGCTGAAATGAAATTAAATATCATAACCACATAACAGTTCATGTCAACTGAATATAACAAGTAATCGCGTCAACATATTTAAATATAATTCCTTAAACTAAATTCTTGTTATATTTTTTAAATAACAAGAGTTATGCAATAGACATTCGCGCTAACAAAAAATTTCGTTCACGCCATTAAACAGGAAAATTTAAAAACAGCCTCAAGACTCCTATATAACAATAAACATTAGTTTCAAGAGAACAGAAAGTGTAAAAAACTATGTTGCGCTTATATTTCCCACCTGGATAAAAATTACCTCTTCTTAAGCTGGGAGCTTTCTTACTGATATTTGTATGTCTTCTTCATCAAACCATCAGAATACAGATATTTGTATCTCTTCTTCAGGTGAAAAAACGCGATAAACCTTGAACTGTGACACACAGCTTTCTTCAACGGTGTTTCTGACGGAAGCTACTCGCGATTGTAGCGAAATGCTCGCCCTCTGGTAGCGAATCGCTGACACAAAAATAGAGCTGAGATGAACAGCAGCGCTATTGCAGAAAACGGTTGGTGTTGCAACTCTCAGGGCTACAACGTGCAAGTTACAAATTAAATAATCACAGCAGGGATTATTAATATAAAGATTTAATATGGATATCTCACACAAGCTGAAAACGTTACATTACTCTATTAAGTGCATACATATAACTGAGTGAAAAGGGAATTTCCTCGTTTAGTTCGTAATTAAAGAAAAAATAAGAATAATAAAAAATAGTCCAATCAGATGCGGCGCTCCTTCTGTTGACCTTCGCCGAGCCTTTATGTAATCGTCTGTCTGCAGCCGCCGTCTCAAACATTCTCCCCCTCTTTGAGTCGACTTCAGGTTGGCTCAAAGACATACAGTACCTGGTCGAAGAGATCCAATTTCTGAGGCACCTTGATCGCACGTCCAAATCTTTACACTTTAGCCCCTTGCAGGATGTTACTAGAGTCATTAGAATCTGAATGCTCATCACTAGAAATAGAAGAAATAGGATCAGTAAAAGAGTTATCGTTTATGGGATCAGTGGGGTGTGTCCGTTAACTGCACTTCCAATGGAAAGACTCGCTGAATGGGACGAAGCAGCGTACCAGCTTGAGTCTTTAGTTCTACAGTTCTCATCTTGCCATCTTTCCCAGGAATTAGTCGAATGACCTTAGCTAAAGGCCAATGCATCCGTTTTTTCATGTCATCTCCTATTAGGACAATTTCACCCAACCGTAGCTCTGACGATGGATCCTTCTTATTTTGGACCAGAAGGCCTAAATATTCTTTTCTAAATCTATGCCTTAAATCATTAAGTAGTTTTTGGCGATGTCTAGCCCTTTTTCGAAGACCTTTTCGAATCGCAGAAATCAACATCAGGAACACCTAAGCTACGATTCTCGAATGAGAAACATGGCTGGGGAAAGTGAGGATTAAATCATCCGGAATTTTCCGACACATAGGTAAGAGGTCTAGAGTTAATTATTGGCTTACAGTCGCATAATACTTGTGTACAACTCCTCGGTTGTAAGAACCGCATTACCGAGTGTCCTTCTCAACAGTTTCCTTTACTTACACAGAACTAACCTCTCCCACCAGCCACCCCACCAAGCGGGACTGTGGGAGGATTAAAATTCCATATTATGTGTTGTATAGCCGTTTTTGCCTCAAAATTTTTTCCCAATCAATGTGTTCCCAATCAATCAAGTTTTTTGTTCTTTTCTTTGCACTCCTCTGAAATTAGTTCCATTGTCGAAATAAATTATTCTTGGCCTCCCCCTTTTCTGGCTACGAATCGTCTCAATGACAACAATAATGTGTCGGTAGACAATGAGGAAGTCAATTCCAAATGAACGACCCTATATATTGCACATGTGAACAAAACAATCCAAACTTTTTCACCTCCCTTCACATACAAGGGTCCTGCCAAATCAACTCCTACCACCTCGAACACCACTGCTCATTGGCACGATCATGGTGAGACACGGCTCGCAACTAGGAGACTTGGCCTTGTATCGATTGCATCTTACACAACCGTTTACGACTTTCCTGACCGCTCTTCTGCCCCTCACTACCCAAATCGCTCCCTTAATATTCCAAGTAATATTTGGGTTCCAGCGTGACAATTTTGTAAATGATAATATTCTATCAGACGCTGGGTGAATATACACCGGTCTGGTAAAATAATTGGACAAATAAATTCAGGTTCGTCTGATCGCTCTGTAATGCACGTTTTCACCCTTTTTATACCCTCTTTGTCTGAGATGACACTCATATTGGGAATAGAGTCGGCAGAAGGAAAATACTTATTTTGTACAATTTTTATAAGAGTTTTTTCTGCATATTCCATCTCATGAACGGTTAAATCTCCAGTCTCTGGAAATGCACGTTTACTTTTTGCGTTTTTCACAAACCGCAATATCCATGCGACTAATCGAATGATGGATTGAAAATTCGAAAACCTAATTGTATTTCCTCTTGAACTGAATTAAGATTACACAATCTAACCTTCCTTTTTTCTCGTTCTACCTCAGAGATCTCGTAAGCCAAACGGTCTGGTGGCCAGTTGTTATTAGGTTCCAGAAGCCAGGATGGACCCTCCAACCAAAGAGAAGCTGAAAATGAACGAGGGGAACTGCCTCTTGAAAGAATATCTGCCGGGTTTAAATCACCTGGAACATGGCGCCAACACTGAGAAGGAATCAGACTGTTTATTTCTTTTACCCTATTTCCAACGAAAACTGACCAATCCCCACGGTTCTTAATCCACCAGAGTGCTACCATAGAATCACTCCATGCAATAATTTTCAAATCAGGCAGTTTTAAGGCGGCGTATACTGAGTGAACCAGTCTCGCGCCAATGCAACAGGCCATCAATTCTAACCAGGGTTTGTCAGAGATTTTAACGGCGCTACCCTGGATTTGGGCTCTGATCAATCGAATTTTGACTCCCACGGACGTTACTACAGTTCTAATGTAAACACATGCACCATAGGAGCTCTTACATGCATCAACGAATAGATGCAGCTCTGAATTCTCATTTATCTCTACATATCGTGGAATACTAATTTTCTCAAGATATTTAATTTCATCCTGCCACTTCTGAAACGTTTTCTGAATGTTATCTGGCAAGGGATCATCCCATTTTAATTTCATAGTCCAAGCTTCCTGTAATAGTAACTTAGGTAACAAGGTAGTTGGACTCAAAAAAACTCTGCGGATCAAAACTTTTACGTATCATAGCCAAAATATTACGTTTACTTATCTCATTATCCATTGAATAATTAAGATTACATTTCAATGTATCGTTATCCAAATCCCATAAGATTCCAAGAAGAGAAGTTATACCTAAATTACGGGAAATACAATGACCTGGAACATTACTTTCCCAACCCCATAGGTTAAAACATCCCCAAGCCATTACTTCTGTAGCCTTAACTATAAAATTTTCTTCTTGTTTGAAGTCGTGAACCCCAGTGACACAATTGTCAACATAAAACGAATGCTTTAATTTTTGGGTCACATCGTCAAACTCGGCAGGGAAATTATCCAAGAGATGCTCTGTCGATGCAAAGAGTTGGAATGGAAACGAACAAATGTCGAACACCACTCTGCAGTGTCTGTAAATCATAGGTTCTTCAAGAGTTGGAAGAAAAAACCTCAAATAATCTCTGTGTTCTGGGATAATACTCAGCTGAAGAAATGCTTTTTCTATGTCCGATAATAAACCAACAGAATACAATCTAAACCTGTCAATTATATCAGGTATGAGTTCAATTAAGTTCGACCTTCTATTTAAACAATCATTAAGGGACGGCTGATTTCTCTCTCGGGCTGAAGCGTCGAACACCGGCCTTACCTTCATTGTCTGGCTAGTATGCTTTATAACAGGTCTATGGGGCAAATAATAACTCAAATTATCAATTTCAGTTTCAGGAACCTTTTCTATTACTTTAAGGTCTTCCCATTTCTTAAAAACTACCTTATAGTCATCTAACTGATTTTCCTCATTAATTCGTTGACACATTCTTTGATGCCTTAAAAGTCATAGACTTATTGTTCGGTAACAGAATTTCAGATTTAAAGGGTAGTGGCAATTCATATCGGCCATCAGGAAGAACATTTAATTTCTCTTTAAATTGCTTAACGGTGTCAGAGTTAGCAAGTTTACGTTTAATATCTTCAGTTGGATCTGTTATGCCAATGGCATCTAAATTCCAGAGTTCGGTTACGCTAAGATTAGCACAGTGCAACGAAACTACATTATTGCACAAATTATTTTGTAATAATGCTGGAATAGTAGCTGCTGAAGTAGGTTCTTTAGATAAGCTGTTTACTTTACCAATCACAGTGTATCCGAATTTAGTCCCAACTACAGTTACAAACACCAGAGTTCAGTTTCAGAGAAATGCCAGTATAATGTCCCCAATGGCATCTGCTCCTAAAAGCAACTCAATGTCATATTCTTTAGCTTGCAAATCAGACAAGGTAATATTTCTTTCTTTTAATTCTTTTAGGGTATTGGGATCAACTACTTTTGGAACACATCCACATATTTTGTTTTGAGAAAGTACTTCAAAGTTATGGTCATAAGTGCCCTCAAAATTTCTTAAATTAACATCAAACACTAAATGGGAATGAGGACTTGTCTCTCTCCCCCCAAACAAACCGTGGATAATGGTTTGTTTCGATTTAGGACGCAGTTGCAAAAACGCGATAACCCTTTCTGAAAGATAAGATTTCTGAGAACCACTGTCCAAAATCGTACGAACTGTAAGTTGTCTACCCTCAAAAACTATTTTTAAAACAAGTGTTTGCAAATACACATTTTCATTAACAGTTGACTGATTAGACAACACATTACGGAAATAACAGTACTTTCAGTTTCATTTGGCTTTACAGGTTCGCCATTTGAGCACATAATGGTATAGTGAAATCTATCACATGTTAAACATTTTACTTTAGTTTTGCATGCCCGTGAACTATGTCCAACTCGTAAGCAGCGAAAATAGGCGCGCTTTTGCACCAAAAGTTTTCGTTTGTCTTCTAAAGACATTTTGCGAGCAGAAAAACATTCTGCAGAATTGTGGGATTTCTCACAAAAAATACAACGTAAATTTCGCCTACCTGTATTGTCTTGAACATATGCCAAGGCAGCAGCTGTAGAGCAACCCGGATCATCACAATGGGGACGCGAATGTGCAGAACGTTAAGCTCCCAACCCGGTACGAGCGAGCTTAATCATTTCCTCACTTTGCACTTCATTTCGAAGAAAGCACAAAAGTTTATCCAACGAATGCGCACTATCTTGCTGTGACGCAGTATCTTCCATCGAGCGGCTTCTTTCCCACGCATGAAGAACAGTTTCTGGTAAACAGGACTCAACAAGTGGCTCTAAAAATTCTGCAAATTTTTCCTTAGTTCTACCGAGA